CTCTGCCTTCTTGAAGGTAGGGGTAAGGTTTGCGTACACACTACCCTCCCCAGACCCCACTTGTGGGATTACACTGGGATTGTTGTTGTTGTTGTTGTTGTTGAAGTGATTGTTTTTTTCTTTTACCAAGAAAACAATCTTTATCTGCAAAGGTAAGCTGAAGTTATTTAGTTCATTTATAAAAACTTCAGCACTAAATAAGCTGAAGTTTTTTTGTCCTGGATTTATTAGTTTTGTCATAAAGCTTTTTCAAAAACTTCAGCAGAAGATGCTGAAGATATTTAGTTCATTTGTAAAAACTTCAGCACTATATAAGCTGAAGTTTTTGAAAAAGCTTTCTAACATACTAGATAAATAATCAGACTGCCAACTGTATCTAAATCATAAATTTTGGAAACAATAAACTTGAAAAGAACAGAATTATCATGAAAAAAATCACTAAGTGTGACCTTAAACTTCACGTACATAGAAATATGCACAAATTATTGTCTACTAACTTACGTAATTATTTATAATTTGTTTTTAAATAATGTGATAAACATACTTATGGCAATTATCCAATGAACTGAAGTTTCATAGCAGCACCAACAGTAGCAGAAGAAAGAAGAAGAAGAAGAAAGAAGAAGAAGAAGAAGAAGAAGAAGAAGAAGAAGAAGAAGAAGAAGAAGAAGAAGAAGAAGAAGACGAAGAAGAAGAAAACGAAGGAGGAGAAAGGGGGCTGAAGTTGTTTAAAACGTGGGTACAAATTAAAACTTTTTTGAAAAAAAAGGGTATAGGTTAAATGGGGGCGACCAAATATGGCGCCCCGTGCAATTTACCTATACCAATATTTTTAAAATTATTTAACCTATACCCTAATTTTTACAACTTCAGGCCAGGAGCGGATTTAGAGGGGCGGAAGGGGGTTCACCCGAACCCCCTTCGCCAAAAAATTACACTGTAGATATAAGGCAAAATCTATTTTTTACCTCTATATATTAAATTTTGAACCCCCTTAACACAACCCAAAATTGTAGCTTAGTGGTCAAGGGGGTTCAAAACCCTCCTAAGGTCATAGGTTCAATTCCCACTAGCTACAAATTTTTTTTTGAACCCCCTTCGTGGAGATCCTGCCTCCGCCACTACTTCAGGCGCCTCCTTCTTCCTGCTACCTATGCGCTCCTTTCTTCCTCCTTTCTTTTCTACTCTTCATTTTATGTAATTTGTAGTATATTTTACTGCTGATTTGCTCATAGTGACTGCCATTTTTGTTGAAACAACATTTTAGAACTTTTCTTTATCTATTTGTAATTCATTGTCTGTATTTATTATATTTCCAATGAATTCAGATTGATCCAGGAATGAAGAAAAGTTCAGCCCTGAACTGTATTAGTAGAAAGATGAGAAATTCCATCTTCAACACAAAACAAACTTCAGCCCTGAAGTTTATCTCAAACATAACAAAGCTTAAGCTAAAACATGCTGAAGTTCAGCAAATATAGAACAAAACTTCAGCTAAAACATGCTGAAATTCAGAAAATAGAGAACAAAACTTCAGCTAGTAGAATGCTTAAGCTCAGCAATTACAAACAAAAACATCAGCCAACACTAAGTTTACGCGAAAAACATCAGCTAAAACATGTTGAAGTTCAGCAAATAGAGAACAAAACTTCAGCTAGTACGGCTGTAGGACAAAAACTTCAGCTTATTTAGTGCTAAAGTTTTTACAAATGCACTAAATAACTTCAGCATATTCTGTTGAAGTTTTTGAAAAAGCTTTATGACAAAGCTAATGAATCCACGATGAAACTTCAGCTTATTTAGTGCTGAAGTTTTTACTGTCACGACCCGGATTTTATGCCCACCCTCGAGGGTCGTGATGGCGCCTACTAATAGGAGCTAGGCAAGCCAACTTAATTAGCAATTTCATTAAACACATGTTCCTTTTTAACAATTAACGGCATTAAATAAAAGGTGACGGAATTAAAAATCATAAGCGGAAGACTTAAATGTAGATAGATGATCGATAATACAGAAGTTCCAACACATATATCTCTACCCCGGGACTGGAGTCACATACTCACGAACATCTAAAGAGTACTACATACAAAGTCTGAAAGGAACATAATCTGTTTATCTCGGGTACAATGAGATGACAGCCAAATGTA